AAAATTCAAATTTTGCTCCATTTAAGGAAGAATTTTAAGTACAAGGCTGTCATGTAAGGATAAAAATGTAACTTGAATCAGTGTGGTTTTTTGGTCTCATGATAAAAAGTAAAACCTAAAATTTCAATAAGCTTTCTTGGAAACTAACCTCCTTTTCAAACTTTTCACCATAGATAGCTTTTTGACCTCCAAGCCATATTTGGGAGACTGTGTTGTTACCAATAGCAACAGTCCAATAAACAAAAGCCATGGCACCAACTAATGAAAAGAGAAAAATACAAGCCATAATTTGTGGCTTGTTTGTTCTTATACAAGGAACAGGAAGAGGGGTTGGCTATAGTTGTAAATGCACCTTTTGTCAAGTCTTAAACTAATAATAAACTTGAGTGAATCATTCGAGCCCTTGCTTCATTCAAATTCATACAATTCTTTACATGGTCATGGTACTTAGTCTTGGCTTGGACTCTTTCTAGCTGAAAAAGTCAATCTGCACGCTCACTAAGGGGAGGTTTAACTAATTTTAAGCTCCAATTATTCCAGAAAAGGTGGTACTGTCAACTGCTTTGCTTTTGTGACAGCTTACCCAGAGCCAGGACTTTTTCCATTCAAATCAAAAACAGTCAAACTTTTTTCCTGCAATAGATAAAAGAAAAGTAATTTAACCAAACCACTGCACAAAAACACCCAAAGGGAAGATAAACAGAAGAATGGGGAATATTTTTCTCATAGACTTGAATGCAGTCAGAATATGAAGGCCAATTCTTTCATTTCCTTTGTCCTTTGGAGGATGACCCAGAGCCTGCACCCACAGGTTCACACAAGGACCTATTTATAGGATTCAATTTTAACTTTTCTAAACCTCCACAATGGAAACAACATTACATCATTATAAAAACTAATATGACTAAAACTAATACAACTAATAATTGACCTTAATTGTATACATTCAATACATTCTAAAATATTAGCATAGTCTTTCTAAATACCTTACATTTATTTAAGTACAGGTGGTTTTACTGCTCAAAAATACTGAGAAAAACAGGCATTATGACTGTGAGTGGGGGTGCCTCTCCACAAATCTGACCTAACTTGGTTTGGTTTGGTCTTTTTCAGGCTTACCTATTACACATTAACAATAACTAAGTAGTTACTAAGCCTGAATCGTTATTAATAAAATATTTGTTCATAGTGAATTAAGCCATGATCCATGCTAATTATGCTGTAGTTATTATAAAGACAAACTTTGGTAAACATTATTGTCAATATATAGTAACTCTGCTCTGCATTTTAAATTTGAATGTTTTTAAGTACAGTTCTTGTCATGTTGGTCTACTGTGGAAGCTGAGATGCACTCCTTCACCCATGGGTTCACACAAGCACCTGAAATACCTCCATAGACTTGACTATGTACCTGCCCTCTTAGCTGTTCATGAGTGGAGACTTTGTCTTCTGTCCAGCTCACAAGAACCCACTTCCTGTGTCAAATTGCCTCTCACATTCCACACTCTCCATCACACCATCTTATTTTTCCTCATTTTGTCCCTCCTCTCTTTCCCTCCTTCATCTCTTTCTCTCTCTCTATGGGGGGCTTTGTCTGTGATCGGAAGAAAGCAACAAAACACTGATTCATTTTCACGGGTTAAACATGATCCACGCGTCACAAATAGCAGTTAAAAGGGAACGACTCTTTGGCAGAATATTGTCACTATTTTTGAGCCACACGCACACAGATGGAGGCTGACGGACACAGCAGATGTCTATGGGAAAATTAGTCTCCAAATGTAAAGTAAAGTCATCCGGATATGATGTCACGAGTTGGAGATACCCTTGATGATGTCAAGAAGGGACTGGTCTGGAGCCAGGAGATGTTACAGAAAGACATTTTGTTCCACGTCTGTACTCTCTCTAAGCTGAAGATGTATGTAATGTATGTAGATGTGCGTTCATTTGGACCACTGGTATTACTTTGAATTTATTACTAACATCTATATTTTGGGTCCAAATAATTTCCCTTGTGAATCAATAAACTTTGTCTAAGTCTATAATGAATAATAATTAAACTACATATTGTATGTTTTGAAAGTGAAAAAAGGTCCTTATGTTGAATATAACAGGAAGCTGAAACCTATGAATAGCCACAGGGAGACAGTTTATGTGTGTGTCACCGTTACCTTTAGCAAGAACACCTGCACCTGAAAAGCTACTATTAAAAGAGCATGTGCAGGAAGGATGCATTGGAAATCATGTAATATGTCTCTTCAATAGAAACATAATAGAATAGGAGGGTCTGGCAGCTTTCTACAAGTTTTAATTGAGGGCAAATTTAAGGTTCTTTAATTGTCACCAATCCAGCTGCTATGTTTTATAGGTGGGGTGTAAACAGTGGCCAGTTAGTTTCAAAGTTTACAGACAGATAAACCACCACACTCTCATTATTTCACTATGGGCCAATAAAGTACCACAGATTCACCTATTACAAGACAGTCTCAGCACTTATTTAAGTGGGTTACATTTCTGATAAATTGAAGACCATAGCATTTGTCATCTATTCTCACAACTTTTACCAGGCTTGCAATAGCATTAAATTAGCAACAGTCTTTCTAAGAGTGCTCATACTGTATACAGTTAAGTGTGTCACACCTGTCTCCCTCTGTAGGCTTAAAGACAGATTAGGTCAGCTGTAGGATCTTTGGCTCCGACTGCACCCACTGACACTAATGATCTGCTGTGTGCACCACAGACTGGAGTCCTCCACTGGGGTAAATGACATAAGGACAGACAAGTCCATACATTTACAGTGTAAATAAGACAGGCCTGATTTAGATTCAAACAGCCTAATAAAGACTGCATCTCATTTCAATACTGTAATGTCAACATAACTACTAAAAGTAAAATAAAAGCCTAAAGAAATGTACTAAAAATGTACAAAAAAATAACCATGAACTAAACTAAAATCAAGCAAAATTAAGAAATAATTCAAACTTCCACAGAAACACATGTGCTGCTAATCATGTCAACTAAAACCAATGGTGTGACACAAAAGAGGTGCATCAAATACATTTTGAAGCATTGCATTGCAGAGATTCTCCATCCCATTCAAGAAACGGGGACGAGGTTGGATTACTAACGAAGCAATTTGGGCAAATGCCCTGGGGCCCCGAACCCAGAGAGGCCCTTGAAAACAATGTGTTTAAGGAACACCAATTAGTTCTGGGAAATTCTGCACTTAAAGGCAACTGTGGCTAATCTTTAATTTTCATTTAAAGAGATTTGGGATTTTTGTAGGGCACGCTGGAGGAGTAGAGCACTGAAAAAGTTGAGGAATGTGTCTCAAAACTGACGGAGCCTGTAATGGAAAGTTTAAAGCGTTTAAACTATTGCACACACAAACATCTGCCTGAAGAAACAGACAGAACAAGATATAGTTTAGTGCATATGTGGCAATAAATAACTGACAGCCAACGGGCGGTAGTGAAAGGCAAGTTTTGCTTTTGTTAAGGAAATTTGCACCTGACGTGGAGAGGCCTTTTTTCCTGTGTGCCCCTGTTGAAGAGCCCATAATGATTATATAGGCTTAAGAAAATGCTTAAAAACAATTGCTCTTGGGGGTGTTTGAAGTTCGAGTCCCAGCTTGTGTCTGATTGTTCTATGTGTGTCTAACTCTGCTTCTTGTCCTTCTACTCTGTCACATGAAAACGTTAAAGAAAAAAGTGTTATCCCTAAGAAACTGCAGTATTATTAATAAAGCCACAATAAAGGACATATGTGTGCTGTGTAGACTGAACTTTATCTATACAAAAATCTGTATCGATTAAAGCTGCATCTCTAATCTCCCAGAAACCTAATAAAAGCATTAGACATGGGCCAGAGACAAATCCAAGTCTCATCTGGATTTGTCATAGATTTTCTGATCCCGTTGGACCAAATATGGAAGATTGTGTCATCACTGAAGAAGATAAAAGTATGGGGGTTTGAACTAATATTATCCAAAAGGAAGCAAACCAAACATGACAAGGCGTTAGATGTTGAATAAATTATTGAGCATCGTCACTTTGCCTCTATGGGAATGTTTGTTCTGTAAAAGTCTCTGTTAGGTTTAAAAGTAGACGTGGCTGTTTTTGGGTGCTCCATTTTCTTTCAATGATTCAGTGAGTTTCACCTCCTCCTCACGGGATAAATCTAGATCCACGGTGGCGGAAAGTGTGGGCGTGCTGCCGGAGCCTATGGGGGGGCATCTTGCGCGTAAAACTTGGATGGCGTGGACGGTTCCGGAGAGAAGGTGTTGAGAGGGATGAGGTGGGGAGGGGGGACTCGAATGCCTAATCAGCTTGCCTTCTTCGCGATTCCCGATGACATCATGCCATGCCAGCTTTCGTACCGCATCGCCGTTAACTTCCCCCGTTACCCCACCCACGACACTCTGCGCACACACTCGTACTCATCTGGCTATAAGAAAAGGAGAGTGATGGAGAATGGAGGATACCCCGTGAAGGAGCCTAAACTCAAAGCGGACCCTGCTATGCCACTGTTCCAGAAATGTGCACTTCACAGGTTAGACACCGGACAGCCACACACGCGCAAAGACCCAGGACAAGCTTTACAGAGGGAACCCCAGTTATAAACTCCGCAGATTGCAGTCTGGTCCAAATTAGGGGCAGGATGTGAGCGGTGACACAGACTCCACATACAGAGGCACTGTATAATCAAGTCCAATTAGAGATTACCCGCTAATTACCGCCACACTCACTCACATGCTCACACACACACACCTCCTGCCACAGTAAACCCGTCTGAGAGACACAAAGGCGCGTGTTGAAAGCGGGGGGTGGGGGTACAATGCACGGTAGCCGCCAGCAGCCCCCCTTATCCCAACGGGAGTCAAGGGTGGCCAATAAGGCTCATATCTAGGTCGACTGCCGTTTTATCACGACTGTCACGTTAATAGAAGCCCGAGCTCACTCACACCTATGCGCTAACAAAGGAATGTGTGCGGGGCTTACCGTGGCGGCGTGAACGAGCAGTGCCGTCAACGCCAGTAGTCGAGGCAGCTTCATGGTGAGCCTCCCGTCGCTGCCTTCTCAAGGTTCAGGGAGGTGTGCGAGGGACAAACGCTGCTACTGCTGCCACTGCCTGCCGCACACGGTGGGGGATAGTCTCTCCAACTTCAACGTGCAAGCCGCCGTCCTCCTTGACGGCTCGTTTAATCCAAGTTTTGTCGGCGATAGCTCGCTGCTTCTGCTCCCGTTCAGCACTACACCAGGAGGCTTGTGCCAGGCCCTCCCCTCGGTCCTCCGGTTCTTGCGCTTCGGACCAGATAGATTCACTAACCCTGCTCCCGCCGTGTCTTTGCCCCAATACACACTGGGTCTGTGCGTACACGCTGTTTCTCCTCCCCCTCTCCGTCCGTGGAGGGCAGGATGTTCCGTATGGCGTCGCTGCCTGGCCTGGGAGTCTGGCAGGAGGAGGGTAGTGTGCGTGTGTGCGACTCAGAAGGCTGCGTTTGAGAGGCGGGGGTATCTCCAGCAGTCAGGGCGAGGATGCCCCCTGCAGCTTGCCCAGGCACCAACAGGCATCAAAGTGCTTTAAAATACACACAGCCCCGCGGTGTCTTCAGGGTTGCCACGGATTAGTTTCACCCACTAACCAAATGTTTTTGGCGACCAATTTTACCAGGTGTATTGATATAGATAACCAATTAACTCGGTAAACAACCGATGTTGGCTCACACCTGATTCTACAGACTAAAAATAATTTGAGCTGCCTCAGCACCCAGCCAATTAGTATCTGCTGAAATCCTGAAGTGCTGTAATGAGAATTTTGGGGATGACTCCATGCTCCAATAAACACACTATAATAACTGATATGACAAGTTGAGGTAATGGTTTTCCTGTCTTTTGGAGACTATTACAAATTTTCTTCTGTCACAGTTACAGCTTCTTACTGACCCACTATATTCTAATTAAAAGCTAAGTAAGCTCGAAGCAAAAGATTCAGTGTAGTTGTACAATGTATTTAGTAGTTATGTGCGTTTGGATTATGGCACGTGATCATTCACATTCACAGGGCATAACATGCGCTGTATTAGAGCCATGTTATAGCGTGTGCACCATTACTAAGAGCATTCATTGGAACAAGTCCCAACACAGTGCGTTATAGTCAAGGCCGTACCATTAAGATGCCAGCAACATTAATCAGTGATGTTTATGGATCCCAGAGTACAAAAACACCTCTCCCACAAGGTCCTCTGAGGTATTAAACTGTGATAAAACAGAATAGAAAGAAACAAAAGCATGAGACAGTGAACTTTTCAAAGTTTTTTTGTTCAGTTTGGTTTTCAAAATAAAGATCACACAATTGTTTAGAGACAATCTACAACAGGAGTTACAAAAAATAGTTGCCCAGGCAATAAGCATACACAGGTTCTGTTAACTATACACATATGGTTACAGGTGTGCTCGTAGTAAATATACACAAGGCTGCTTCAAATGTACACCGCACTATCAGCGGGATGCCTCTCTCACCCAAAAGGACATGGACAGTATGATACAGCACTTACAGCACTAGAGAAATGCCAAAAAACACAAGATCTCCTCTGTACAATCCAGGCCTCCCCCACAGAAAGCAGGCATGATCTTAAAGGGCTTGTGGAGTTGGGACAAAATTATTCCCCACTCAGCAAACCCTCATTCATGACACATTTCATGGGGTAAAGCATTCCTATAAAAAGAGCTTAAAAAAGGTCAAAAGAAAAACAAAAACTCTTTAAACAAATGAGAAGACACCACTAAATATAACAGAATGTGTCCAATTGGGGTTCAGTGGGAGATCAATGTCTTAAGTTAAGCAGTGACAAGATAAAACCAAGCGTGACGAATCTTTGTACAAGTACTACGCTGTATAGAAAGGGCTTTTCAAAACAAAAATTTGATATTACAATTTACAATATACAACAACTCATATGTCACAACCAAGGAGGTGAGAATATACACTGAAATGCACAGGTTTTTCTAAGATTTTTTTTAAGGTGAGATTTTTTTCATTTTCTTCTCATACCAAAAAGGGTGGTAAAGCACTTTTACATTACAAGGGTTTACAAATGTACAATTATACAGTCAGAAGTATGTGGTCACTACTAGGATACATTATAGATACAGATTCAACATCAAAAACCAGAAAAACTACAAAGTTTTATATATATATTTATATATATATGCAAAGGTCTACACCAAGTATACACGTTATATTTATAGAAGCAAGACCAGAAACGAATCTCCCATGCTAAATGATCTGTCTGCTGGTTAGCTGATGGTGTGTTGTCTATGATTCAGTGAAGTCAGACAAATTAAATACTTCTTCCATCTCATAGTGGTAAAAAGCTATAAGGATGGGAGGAGGGACAGTAGGATTGTGGCGCAGCAGTAGCAAAAAGTGAAATGATTTTCAGTTTGTTATCTGATGAAAAGCAAAATCAAAATAAAAATTCCAAACAAAAAGGCAGGAGAGGATGGATGAGAAAGCCAGGATCTCACCTCTGTCCACTCCCTGCTTGCCCCAGATCAGCAGGCCAGGGCTCGGAGGGGGGAGGGGCACGCAAAAACTCAACGAAGGCTCCTCCTGTAAGGTTGTCATGGAAACAAGGGATCGAGGGGTACTCCATGTCCTCGACAAGTAAGAGACGAAGGGGGAAATGGGGAACGGCACTCTCCAAAGGGTCAATTAGAGTTGAGGCTGTTGGACATGACGGCATGGAGGACATGAGTGAAAAGGCATCTGACAGACATGATTCCAGGGGAAAACTTCGGGACAAAGGGGGAGGAAGTTTTACATGATCCCATTTGGAGGACCACAGAGAGGACCCAAGTCAACGCCGTTCTTCATGTAGTACTTCTCCAGTTTGGCCAAGATGTGTTTGCCGTATGTATACTTTCGCAGAGTGGAGATGTGGGGCCGGATCTGACCAAAGACAAGTTCAAGTTAAATTAGATGAGTTATTTACCAACACCACAAAGAGACAGCATTAAAATGTGTTATATTGTGGTCTTTATCCTTTTGACTTCTATATGACTTTTTTGGGTATTATCCCAATAGGAATCAATCCACAGTATGTGTCATGGAGTTTGACAAATTGGCCCAAATTTGAGTGCCTGGTGAATTAAATAGGATAGTTTTGATGAGGGAAATTGTGGGCATTAACGAGGACATATTCCACTTTATTTCTGAGATTTGTCAAAAAACTGTCATATACAAGTCTTTAGTTTTCATTTTGTTCATTGTAAACTACAATATCAATCTACAACTGCTTACTAATAGAAACTGGTCCATTGCCTTCCTTTCCGTTTGTTCAAAATTGCTATATTATACAATTGCTAAAAGGTCGGAGTCTTAAATTTTCAAAACAATCACATATAAGTACAGGGCAGTGGGTGGGGATAGGGGGTAGTTGAAATCAGAAACCTTCTGAGCACACAAGCCTCAAATACATATATATGAAAGCAGAAATTATTATTTTCAGGGTCAGTTTTCCTTTATACTAGTGGGGGAGTTTTTATTTTTCTGTACTACAATTAGATTTCAGCTGAAAAGGGTTGAATAAAGAAGTTCTATGACTCATTCTAGATGCATCCTAATTATCTAAGACCCTGTTTACACTAAAACGGATCCGCGTATCAGAAATGATCTGCGTCCACACACGTCATTTCTGTACCCACAATCAAAGCGTTCCCTGTCCACACAGAAACGCTAGTCACGTGATAGGCTAGTGTCACGTCTTCATGATGTCCCGACGTCATGTGAGTAGTAAAAACAAGGAAGTCTGAAGTTGCAGCAGCTAATTTTGAGCCGAGGGAGATGGCAAGTGTAAAAACAGTCTTTTCGTGGACCAACGACAAGGTTCAATTGTTACTTAGCATAGCACTGGATTTTAAGATGAGCCTGGCGGCTCAGAGTAAGGACTGACTCGTTTCTGTGTCCGCAAGCCTTCCCTATCTACGCAGCTTTGAGCACATTTGTGTACATTTTACAGAGACAAAACTTAAATCCGCATGGCTAATTTGCATAAAGTAATCTAAAAAAAACAGCTCGCTATTGTGCGCTGATGCGGTTCAGTTTCTGTCGAACTAATGGACACGACTCAGTGGATTATGTGTTCTTTCTCTGAGAGAGGGGTATTCAGTTAATTTTGAGTTTCTTCTGTTCTTCTATTGCGCTGGAAATAGTTCATGTTAAATTTTTCAGAGATTATACGTAGGGATGGGCATGATTAGTCGATTAATCGATAATTGATCATTAAGAATTTCATCGATTACATAAATTTTAATCGACAAACCGAATGTAGGTTGCTGTGCGTAGCGTGACCAAACAGGGGTCCGTACATGTGTCTCTCTGCACTCAGAAGGAGCGAGCAAACACAAACAGTCAGTCCGCCTGCAACGTACTGAAGTGCACATGCGTATTTAACGATGACTTGTACAAGAAATTCCACACTTTCCGTTGCGTTCGGGACAAATGTGAGTCCATGTGCACAGTGTACAAAGCAGCACATATGTTTCGGTGTCCAGTGGGAAAAAGTTTTGCCAGGTGAGAGAAGCGCAATGTCGATGACGAGGACTCACTTCCCACTCCCCATACGGTGTCCTGGTTTTGACAAACGCAAATATGGTCACACTAACCTGTATTCCTTTGAGTCATGTCTTTTAATCCGACAGAAGTTGAACCGCATCAGCGCACAAGAGCTGTATTTTTTATCTTCGCTTAGTTTATGCAAATTAACGATGCGGTTTTAAGTTTCGTTTCTGTGAGAGTTGCGCAAAACTGAATTAAATACATTATAATAAACGGGCTGATGTGGCACTAGAGTCGTTACGGTTTATATGTCGTAAAGTTTAATTTATTTATGCAGATTAGGAGTGCAGATAGTAATAATAATGATGATCATTTTTATATAGAAACGTTAATGATTAATCGATAATCGATCGTTAATTCTCTCGACGATCGATTAAGAAAATTTCATCGAATTCCCATCCCTAATTATACAGTCTATGAGTATGATGATAAGTATTAAGCGCAGTAAGCGTTTTCAGGCGTCCAAACAGCGCCGGATCAGCTCTGTACTCAAATAAATCTGTAGCTGAGCAGTTTTCAAACGGATTAGTGTTGACGAACACTGCATCCACAACGAAAATGATTCAAATACGTACTAGTGTGGACGGGGCCTAAGTGCTATTTTTTGCAGCTAATATTTTGTTAACTATATTGTACATTTAGAATGTTTTCTAGGATAATTCTGCTTTTTGGTTATTGTGTTAGTGGTTTAAATTAGTTTCAATATTATCGTTTATCGCCTACATTTTCCTCAGCAATATATCATACTTCAAAATGTGTTAACGTGACCATTATATAATGGTTTATTTAGCAAAATATATCTATTTTATTTATGCCTGTAAAGCAAAAAATTTTGTTTGTACAATTGAAACCAACCTTGTGCATAACAATTTTGCGCTGCGTGGGCTCAG